CATATTTTGCTAAAATTGATTCTAAAGATCTTTACCGTTTTAATTCTGTCACAAAGTTTCAAAATTTTTGACTTCTTGGAACACAAAGGTTAAATAAATTGAATATATGATTACGATTTTAGTACGAAGTAGATCGATTGACAACATTAATTGACATCGTGTCTCTGAGATCTTTTCATTTCTTATTGAAAATGTTGGTCGGAAGCAAAAGCTGCATGTATTATTATTATAGGGACAAGCTGTTATAAATCTTGTTACAAATCTTCCTAACTTTGTTTGGATTTAAACCGCTGTGTAAGAAGATTCTAATCTCCCTTACACGTTCACTTCTTTGAATCTTCCCACTTCCTTTCGAACCTTCCTTAATAGTTAGGAGGCCTTTAACATCATCTTTCAATTTGTTAACTTTAACTTACTAGTTCACATTACTGAAACAAAAGTTTCTACAAGCACAAAATGTGTGGTAGCTTATAGTGATCGACTATTGTCGATGACAGCTGCCCAAAACAGCTCTTGTGTCACATGACTGAAATAAGAAATACTTTTTAGCTCAAATGATGTCCTAGCTTTAGCTGGCGGACGTGATTTTAATCATTTTGAATCAGGCATGACGAACCGGTTCAAAATAACGGTTCAATTAACCGGTAACCTTTATTTTTTTGGAGTCAACATTCCTTATGCTGGAACGTCATCTAGCTATTAAAAAGATAGTGGTAGATTTTGGCAACAATAAGAACTTACATTTGTCCGAAGTGAATTAGAAATCAATCGAAAACGCTGTTGTGGCTCTCAAACCTTCAAAAACTGCAACAATTCTTCTTCAGAAAGAAAATGTATTGCCAGGGGATTTTTATCACATTTGCTATTGGTGGTAGTGTACTTCAGAAACTAGTAAAATTGATCTTCCTTTGGCAAGAAGGATTTATTGCAATATAAAATCTCGTCAAACTAAACTAATGACAGTAACGACTAATAAAGCATTTTTAGCTGCGATCTACTTAGATCCAAGATTCGTCTGTGTTTTAACCGATGAAGAATTGAATATTGCGCAAAAACATTTACGCAAATGATTTTGATAAAATTTGATAAATTTGATGAGAAAATCATTTGCAATTAAGGAATTTTGTACCTGCACTCCTCGAATTTCATATACCGAATATATTCTAAAGTACTGCGAAAATATTAAACATAAGACAAACATAACACAAGCCCTACCAGTAACGTAAGTAAGCATGGTAAGGTGTTTTTCAGGTCTTCGCTACATAATATCCGAATTAAGAACGAAATATCCAAAAATAATTTAGAAAATATCTTATTGATTCGTGCAAACACAGGCGATGACTATTAATTTACTTCGGGCATAAAGTGTCTTTACTAGACCTACCTACTCCAAGTTCCATTCCAAGCATAGCTTTGTAATGAAATTGTTTTATGCTTGAATAATACTCACTGTTTCTTATAAGTTGGACATATCTCAAGCCCTTGAACCATTTTATCTTGGTTAGCACGTTTTACGTTGGCTTTTACTATGTGTAGGTTTTTCGTGCACTAGCTTAATTTCTAGTCATAGACTTGTGCTTTTACCTATAATATGTATCTGTTATCTAATTATAGAATACATGAATACATAATTAAAATTATTATCCCACTCTTTCAGTTCCCAAAGGACAGAGTGATAAACCTCCTGTATCTTGTATCAGATTAGGTCTACTTGGCACCTACTATTCTTTTCTGAATGAAAATTCATCTTTTAAACAAAAGTTTTCCTTTATTAGTATCTTTTACACTTTTGTGACATTTGCATATTTTATCAATGTCTCAACCAATTCTTTATCGCGACCTTCATTACCTATAGCCACGTGAACCGAATTATCGACATCGTGTAAATTCATTCATATTTCCATCATTTCGTGAATAACATTTTTTTTTATTGTCAATGCTTAGAACTGCAAAATTAAGACTGTTATAACATTCTGAGCCGTTTTAGTCGAAACGAAGTCGTTGTCTTCGCCGGGAAAATATTGTAAAGAAAAATCTGGTTGCACAATGCTATGTTCCGATGAAGATTCATTCAACGTTCAATTGGACGAGTAAAACTCATGGTTGCTAAGAAGGCAACAAAATAACTAATTAGCACTTCGAAAGCAATTCGAAAGAAATAGTCTGATTCACAAACTGAACGCGTGATAAAAAGCCTATTAACAACGTTGCCAGACGAAATTTGAAAAATCTCCACATCGTTTAGGCCATCTTGTGCCAACCATTTTGAGTAGGTGTCTAAACCAATTTAATCTTCTTTTCTCTATTCTTTATGTAATAGATTCTGTTACCATATTCTGTTTCTTATTTCTTGATTTGATATCCTTGGCTTTTTGTATTTTATCCTGTATCTTCTTTCTATCTATATTTCTTCATTTATATTTGTTTATCGATTGGTATTCCTAGATACTTAAATTCCTGAACTTGTTTCACATATGTATTGTCATTAATTAAAACATCGAATTTAACTTTAGTGTTTGTTATAACCATATATCGAAAAGACGGAATTTCGAGACTTACTTCCTATCACTATTCGCACGCTGTATACTATAGTCTCCTAAATACGTATTTGATGTCCAAAGCATCTTGCGTTAATATCACTTGTTCATCGACAAAACTTGACGATATAAGATATTTATCATTTACCCGTTAATCCCCATACTTGGGTCAGGTAACATTCGTGCCGCAAACGTTTTGTAATGGGTGGGTTCCTTCGATTACCTACTACATGCAACAGATATTTAATGTATATCTCTTCGTATGTGTCAATCTTTTTTTCCATTAACTGTTGCAGAATAAATAAATTATCCGTACATGGCCCGGCCTGGTGTAAAATTGCTTTAGTCTTCCGATAATTTTTCTTCTCTTATTTTATTTTGTAATACCTTGCCATACAATCTACTCATAGTGCCTGTAACACAAATACCCCTATCAAAAAACTTTTATTCCATTCTGTAGGTGTTCTCCATATTTATTCATTAAGTTAGTTATTCTGACCTACAAGGTTTTACCAACGTTTGTTATCATTTCTTCATAATTTCAGTCTTCATTGTTATTAGATTCGCCTATAGCTTTTCCATACTTATCCCCTATCCTGTCGTCTTGTATATTAAGGAATCGTTTCAAATCTGTTTTCAGTCGGTAGTAGTTCACATTACTTCTTCCATTTTTTTAATAGGTATTAAGTTCAGTGATCTTTTTGTTTAATGTGTTTTCATCTATTTTAAGATTTGCCTCTGTGCTCCCTCAATACATGTGTTAATCTGGGTGTACTTCCGTTTCCAGCATTGGTTCTTCTCTGTTTTCAGTTTATTACGTACCTATCTACCTTTTGTCTTGTATTCTGGTCTCGAAGTTTCTGACCTGTGTGTTAAATATTTTTAGTGCAATCTATTTTGTCTTGTATTAGTTCTCTTAATTCCTCCATTATAAAAATATACGTATACCCATCTTTTCCATCTTCCCTTTTACACTCTCCTAGAAGTTCTTTTGCTACATTTTGTGTATCATTTGCTCGTACTCTTTTGACACATTTTCCGTTAGATCCACTGTATATAGTAGTTCATTTTCTAATCTCTAACGTTTTCGTGATGAAACAAATATTTTTTTATTATTTCATACGACTATACTATTCTGGTAACAAAGAGATGGTGTATATCCTTGTGGGGGAAGAAAGTATTTGTTAATTTCCGATAGAATTGATTACACACTAATAATTATTAGTATCTTAATAACAAAATGATGTAGTTATCAATCATAAGACGGGTTGATGTTGCTAATAGTATTGGTAAGGTCTTCATGAAACTGATCTTCTGCTGGGTTGTTTGGTTCATCTATTGGGGCATACACTCCAATGATTATTCTATCCATGATGTATTGGTTACATTCCATAAGTCTTTTTCTCCTATTTTGAATTAATATCAGCACCAATTAGCTCTTTGTGGCTTGTGCACTCCAGATCAGCGCCCTTCTTCTTCGTTTTCGTAAGTACTGTGATGTCTAAATTATATTTCTCTACATCCTTCATTACCTCTTCACTTCATCTCCAGATTATTTGATATTCCACGTATATTCCATGTAGCCGATAATTATCCGTTTCTTCTATAATTCCCATCCAAATTCCGAAGCTGATATTGATCGTTTTTGGCAACTGACTGATTTTTAGCAATAGGTTCTACTAAACATCCCAACGATCAAGGAAGAAATCAAAAGGTACGCAAAGAAGCTCGAAGAATGGCTTTCCCTATATGATAATGCAGAAGTACTTCAACTACACATTGTATAAAAAGCAATGTTATGCCTAAAAGTAAAGTCTGAGTAAAAGTCAAAGTTATAAAAATTCAGATATGCATAATGGTTGGTCCAACTTGACAAGTTTTAATTGTTGTAAATAAAATTTAAAAGAATCCTAAGAGCTTCTATTTCTTGATTTACTATTTAAATTCTCTTTTTCCTCAAATGTACAAAGGAACAATGTTATTTCTGGTCGAATCTTAGTGTTAATTTCATATACATTTTATTAATATTGTGTCAAATTTAGCATTATGACTATTATGAGTGTAGGCCACTTCAATTAATTAAGGATTTAAAGAAAAGCACATCAAAATTATGTATAGGTACGTGAAGTTAGGGAATAATAAATTTAAGGCGGGAATTTTATTTAACTTTAATAAAGTATTTAGAGTTATAATTGTTATTTAATACAATTGTTATCAAAATAATTACTAAATCAATGATAATAAACAACTTTTTTTTCTGTTTTAAAGTTGCATATATTCTAAATGAAGTTAGATGCTAAGTATATAATTTAAACATTTCACTACATTAAAAGAATAAATTTAATGAAAGTATTATTTTTATATCTCAGATTTAAGTTGTAATTAATTTTATCACTACTTTTAAAAAATATATAAATAAATAAAAAACTTAACAAACATTAGTTACAAAACTCCAATTTGACAGATCGCAGTGAAGATAGCGACCGGCGTAAACGCTTTTCAGTTCGATTTTTGTTATCGCCCCCGTTTTTTCTTGCGTATTGCGGCGTCGACAGTCGTCGAAACGACTTCGCACGCGATGTACCCCAAAATATCCTCTAAAACAACTTCGACAACAAACCCCATTTAAAAATTCAATCGAAACGACTAAAAAAGAAAAACAAGAAATCAAACGTGCTGTGATCCATCAGCGATTGTGATAACTTGTCAAATTTTTTTTGTTCTTTCCAAAAAGTTAAAAAAGAACTTGGTATGGCTTTAACAATATCGTGCTCGAAGAGAGTTAAAGAAGCCTTAACTACCACTACATTTGAAACAACAACCGTTGCTAACACCATTCTTGCCCCGGTCAAAACTGAGAAGGATATCTTAGAAAATTCTATGCTTGAAGATGATCCCAATGCAAATTCGGCCACTGTAAGGGAAGAGGAGAAAAACCGACCTAGATGGGGTCCACAACATAAAGGAGCTCAAGAATTAGCTAATTTGTATAGTACAGGTAATGTTTTGCTTTCAAAATTGTTTAATAACTTAGTAAATTGTATTTTTGGTTTGTAGGAAAGCGTACTCAAGAGTATATTTGTGTATGGATTTGTATTGCTTTAATAGCAGCTAATTTTGGTTATATAATCTATCATCTACGATTAGAAAACATCAGTACTATTGTATTGGTAGCTTTAGGTGGAATTATTACGGCTGATTTTGCTTCTGGTTTTGTTCATTGGGGTGCTGATACTTGGGGGAGCGTAGAATTACCAATAATTGGGAAGGTTAGTTTTTTGTTTAACAAAATGCACCTTTTTATTTATCTAAATCCACCTAACTTTTGATAAAACTAATCCTTATTTCAAGTACATTTAATTTATAATCTTATTTTGTAAAAAATATCAACAAAGATTAATGTATTTAATGAACTTATTTACAAGCAGTCTTAAAATTATCAAATATTACATCACTTTCCTATTTTTATACGCACTTAACATCTTCAAAAACGAATTAGCAGCGTTTAAATGTAATTTAGGTCACGCTAATTTAAACTAGAGCACTAAAACTTTTTAGTTTTTATACAAATTACAGTAAAACCTCGATATAATTGATTAATATGGGGAAGGAAGTGTTTGTTACATATAGCCAAAAATCCGTCATATGAATAATTTTTAATTTGCACTTTAAATTGTTTGAATGAATAATTTTAATGCATACAAATTCAAACACCTATCCACACCGTTGCGTTCTTTATTTTTTAGTTCAAAAAGTATACAACAATCTAACGCGGAATATATTTAAAACTAGAACTAACACTAGCATAAGAATTAACACCATCTTAAAATTAAGGTTAAGCCATCTTAACAGACATGCAGCTAAACCTGAATGTTTATGGTTCTATGGCTAGGGTTAGTTGTAGTTTTGGTTCAATAAAAGTTTACAACAATCTATCACTGAATAACAATTGGACCGCGTAATGCATCACTTGACTAAGCGACAAATGAACAATGTTAAGAAAAACGAGATTTTCGTTTTAATCTCTCTAAAAATATAAGACTTCTCAGAATAGACAGGCTCAAATTATTAAAAATTGTATGGTGCCTGTCTATTTGATGACAGCTATTACAAGAACAGAAGCCGCTTGGTCAGTCGTTACGTTTTGCGATTATACAGGTGTTTCTGTAAGTCGTGGCATAAATTTAACCACAAATACTAGAGTCAAAATGATGATTTGTGTAAAAATGTTTGAAGAAAATAATCTAGTTTGATTTTTATTTTATATAGAATTTAAGTCTAACTAGTTTCTGCCCTTGGCCATCTTCAGAGACTCTACAAATAGATTAACATCTCTCATCTCATCCATTTTACAAACAAGTTTCTTAATTTTTCTTTTGTTAAAAAAGATCATATATCAAAGTCGAAATTAGATTATTACTTACTAATTTACAAAATTAAAGATTAAAAAGCTATAAAATGAAATTAAGGACGAAGTGTTACAAGTTTACAGGTTAAAATTTAAGAACGCTCTTTTTTTAACAAAAGAAATATTAAGAAAGTTGGGAAAAATTCAAGAATCATCATATTGCTCAATTTTAGGTTCATCTATTTTTTCTATTGTAGAATTTCTTGGTGTATCTAAGTGTCTTAGGCTCGTTACTACCATCTTCTAATTAACCTATCTAACTGATTATTACCACGGTTACGGCTATTTTACGCGCTATGATTGGCTAGTACATGTGTTTATCTATAAGATAAATTTAACTAAAAGATGGTAGTAATGGACCTAGGGCCCACTTTTACCACCTCTTGATAAATTTTTCCGATTGATAAATTGGCGCTAATTATAATTAATTGCAAGTAATAAATAATAGTAATTATCTATCGGTTAAATTTATCAAGAGGTAGTAAAAGTGGGCCTAAGTGTCGTATCTAAGTTGGTTCTTAGACGTATGATGCAAATCGGACTTGAAATCGTATAACGTGATTGTCGCTTAGCTTTATCCTTTAAAACAAATGACATTTTAGGTCTTTTGGTATTCTGGATTTTTTCTAAGATAAGTTACATCTTTATCTACCAGACAACATAAAAATCTCTAAACACGATAAAATATCGCGTAGTCAAGTGATGTATAACGCGGTCCAATTAAAACTAACACTAGGCCTAGAAACATTCAGGTTTAGCCGTCTTAAGAGACGTGCGGCTAAACCCGAATGTTTCTAATTCTAGATCTACAGTTAATTCTAGTTTTAGTTGTTATTTAAATTTAAATTCCTGTAGATAGATTCTGAACTTTTCCAAGGCTATTATCACAGCTGTCTCATGCTCGCAACCAGGGTTAGCAATGTAATTTACATAGAGTATTTTACATGTATAATACTATGTAATTTACATCGGTAGAAATTATGTAAAATGTAAAAAAAATAAAGAAAAGTAATTTTTATTCCAATAAGGAACGTAACGTATAGGTATTCTTTTTTAACAGAAACATGTACTGTATATTTTTAAATCAAACAACATATTACTAAGTAGCAAAAAAAAATTTGCATATATACAAACCCACTTGCATCATCAAATTATTGCCCAAATTACTTCAGGGATGCAGAACACATGTTGAAAAAAGGCAACATGTGCTTTATATCCTTAAAGTTTGTCGAAACTTGAAAAATAATTTGATGTCGCAAGATGGTTCTTTCGTCGTTTGAATTATATCATATTTTTTCTTAGTCGTCTAGATTATCACATGCGAATCTCCCTCGTCGTAGCTATTATTATCTTCGACTAATGCCATGCTTGTATCTTGCATCTTTAACGTATAATAGATATTGAACAAGTTTGAATTGTCGAATGAGAGCCTGTTACGTAGGGGTCCATGGACATATCCCCAGTTCGAGAACATTCGTTCTATTTCCCCAGAAGAAGCAGGAATTTGCAAAAGCTTAATACTTAATTTCGGTAATTTATTATACTGCATTTCTGCCAAGCGCCAGTATAGCAAAGGTTTTGTTATATTTTTACTCCATAAATCTTGAAAAACTCTTACATTTCTTTTAAAGCTATCCCATTCTTCACACCCTTCATTAGGAAGGAATTTAAAAAGAAAAGTATTAATTTAATCCAGATGTTGTTTCGATAACCTGTTATTGTCGTACAGTGGATGTAGGTAATAAGCAGTGAGGGCGTAAACATTAAATACAATTTTTTTCGAATTTATCGTTAGGTAGCTCTAGAGATAGCCTCAAGTGTGCGGCGTCTGCAAGGGATGTACTATGGGATTGACACTTATTGATTCACAGAAGGGTTGGTAAAATAAAATAATTTCACGGACTTCCTCTACAAAGTCATCATCAAAGATAATAGGTAGAATGCTCTGTTTTGCAAGTAAATTTGCGTTGTGGCTATTGCACGTAGAATGCCATTAACAATGCTTCATTTACTTACCCATTTTTACCATGCCACTTGCATTATCTAACACCACAGCATAAATCTTTGTCTTATACATATTTTTGGCTAAATCAATGGCTTCTGAAATTATTTTACATAATTTCTGAGATGTTTCTGATTCTCCAGTGAGATTCCAAGCATTGAGAAACACTTCTGGGCCTATAAATGTTTGTTATATAATACCGAATATGTGCTTCAATTAAAAAATATACAGGTGTCCCTGAATAATCTCTCAGGACTTTAAGGGGTGTGGTCGTGTTTCTGACATAGTACAAGGTTTTTCTTCGTTTTAAACAACCACTGTAACGATGTCCACATCATCACTGTTCTCAAAATCAAGTTGGCAGTATGTCTAATACCATATTATCATTATTGTTATTAGACAAATCTCTAACTTCTATAATATTATTGTCATAGTCTATAAAAGAGACATCCATAGCAGATATATCTAAAGCGCTGTAGCTGTTGCGATCAGTATCATTTTGACTTGATAATAATAAACTACTTTATTGACTGCAATCAAGAAAAATAAATACAGAGTACGATAATATAACATCATCAGATTTAAACTTTATGCAGTCAAACGGCGAAGTCCAGATAACAGTTTCCAAAGATCTTGTCATCTGTTCTACTCAATCAGGAGTTGAACGTTCAAGATAATAAAACAAAAACCTAGAACTGTTAGCGTATATCGTTTTCCACTCTTACGTAACAAATTATGAAGAAAGAAAGATAAAAAAAATAAAAATAATAACATTCGTTCGCTTCAACGTCAGAACACCGAGGCATCATAAACGTTTTGTTGTGATCTTTGTAGTGTTAATAAGGCGTCGCGCAACTTTATTTTTAAAATGTCGGGCCTTTTATACTTGAGATTAGAAGGACAGGCATCATACTCCTTAGCAATATTGTATGAAAAAGAGCTTTTTTGTGAACAGGTGGTGGAAATCTTAAAACTGCACGAGAATTATGGCAAGTGACGTACCATTGCTCCAAAAGTATGTCCAACAGCAATATAGTAACATAATGGCTACTTTTCACTATTAACTATTACTTGCCTTGCTTTCAAAAAAACAATTTCCAATGATTCTTCGAGACCACAATAGATCCCAAATAATGCCAGGTTTGGAATTCATTTATTTAATTCTGTCTATAAACGAAACCATCGAGATGAAAATAGACCTTATCGGTGAAGATGTTTTTATTCATAAACCCGGTACTCACTTCTTGTTGATCGATGATACAATTGGCGAAATCTGCTTGGGTGTGCATGGTCTGTTGCTAGAAAATGTTGGATCAATTGGACTTTGTAAGCATGAAAATGCGTATGTTTCTGTTCTATGTTTCTGCGTATAACTGTTCAATCCTTATTTTTGAAATTTGAAACACCATTTCTACTGCAATAAGCAGACATTCTTGTATCATGCAGAGCGTAATGTTTGCCAACTCCATCCTAACTACTATCTAATTATGATCTGTCACAATTTTTAGCTTATCAAATGACCTCTAAAATACCAAGCAATTGAATTATTGCGCTCTTATTTAATACTCTTTACAATTAGTTACTTAGAAAATAAAATGTTTACTGCCACTGAACATATTATGGTAGCAAGGAATTTGGAGAATATTCATGACGTGGCATACTGTAAGGGTAGGAAAATCCACACTTCATATTGGCGTAGTATATTATGTCAATATATAATATTGGTTATATGATCTATCAGTTAAAACATGACTCTCTAAGCTATTAAGTAAATTTCATTTAATATTATTCATGATTATTAAACAGTTTGGTCTCGTACTCTTATGGCGTTGCAGTCCACTATCAAACACTGGTCTCCT